ATCCCACTATATTTTTTTTTATTTGTGTGCCTACAACCCCCCCCCCCCCCACACACATATATATATGAACGGTATAAGGTGTATATGCATGTATTTCTTAAAAGTACAATTGGATTTCACTAATACATTGCAATCCAAGTTTAAAAAACATTGCTCTAAGGCAGGAGAAGTATAGATCAAGGGTACATTGCTATTGTGTGTGGACATTGGGAGGTGGAATATGAATCATACTGTGTCTTTGATAGTTAAAAAAAAAAAAACCACTAAAAAAAAGAGTTGGCTTTTTTAAAAGATAAACCTGAGGAGTAATTTTTGTTTTGTTTTGTTTAAAAGCTCTCTGACCCTTCTGATTTACCGAGGAATGCCTTTAGAATTTTTACCATTCTGGTGGAATTTTTATGTATCGAGCATATTGATTATGCTTTGGAAACAGGACTTGCTGGTGAGTATATTTGTATTAAACTTTCTGCTAAATTCCTTTAATCCTGCTTAAACTGTATACATAATGTTGTTTCATGTATAATCATCTCTGTACATTGAATTTGGTTAAGTGCAGTGAATTTTGAGCTTCTACAATGCAAAGATTTGCCAAGTGCTGCAAACCATGCAAAGACATGGTTCTCTCATATTGTTTACATCCAGTGAAGTAAGGTAATAGGCCACATAAGTCACTACAATGTATGGCAGAGTAGATTGCTTTGCTATATATTGTAAAATTTCAAGGAACAGAAACAAAAGAGAACCATTCTGACTGGGAAATTGGTGTAAGGTTTAGAAGGGAAAATATTTTAAAAATAAGTCTGGAAGAGGATAGATTGACATTAACTTTTTTCTTTTACTTTTGATCTTTTGAGCTTACTGGTTAGTATAAATAGTGTAATAATGACTTCTTCCCTGGATTACAGCTTCATTAATCTAGTTGCCCTCCTGACCTCACCACATTTTCAATGGTCATCTCAAATTTAGCGTATCCACAACAAAACTCTTTTTATCTTTCTCCTAAACTTGTTCCTCTCACATGTCTTTAAAAGCATTGCCATTCACCTGTGGCTCAAGTCCCAAACCAAGGAGTTGCCCTAATTCTTCCTTTTTATCAACCCTGATAGTCATCCTATCAGCAAACCTTTTTATCAACCCTGATAGTCATCCTATCAGCAAATCCTGTCAGTATCTTTCCAAAAAATAGTAAAAGTTCATTTACTTTTTTCTATCTCCACTGTTGCCACCGTAGTTCAACTTGTCATCACTGGTTTTCTGTGTTCACTCTTGCCTTTCCAAGTTACTGACTTTATATTATAGCCAGTTTAATTATCATTTCCTTGTTTAAGATCCTTTAGTGGCTTATTACTCTTAGAGGGAAAACAATAACAAACTCTTTAAGAAGCCTGACTTTTGATCTGCCTCTTCTGTATTCATCCTTTCCACATACTGCATTTCCCCACACTATTCCAGACACTCTGGTCTTCATTCTTTTTCCTAACTTAGGCTCTTTGCAGTTAACATTTAAGGGATGGGAATGGGAAACTTGGTGTTTCCCATCGCAAAAAACTTTTTCCTCAGCTCATCTCATGGCTGGCTCTTCAGCCATTTGATCTCAACTAAGATGTCACCTTCTCAAGCCTTTATTGATCACCCTAACTGAAGTAGTACTACTGTCTCGCTTATTGAATTGTCTCATCATTGAAGTAACTGTTTTTTAAACTGGGGATTGAACTCAGGGGCCATTGAGCTATACATTCCTATCCTTTATTTATTTATTTTTTTTAATTTTGAAACAGGGTCTCACTCATTGCCCAGGCTGTCCTCACACTTTGCGGTTTTCCTGCCTCAGCCTCCCAAGTCATGGGATTGCAGGCGGGTACCACTACAACCAGATAGAATTAGCTTTTTAAAGTAACATTTATCACAGTGAAATTTTTAAATGTTAAGTGTTTGCCTCTACTTCAGGATTTATTCACTTAACCCTTATATGACTACTACCAGACCCATGGAGTTTATATTCTTGTGGAAAGATAGAAAAATGATTAGGAAGTGCAATGAAGGAAAATGAAACTGAGTAAGAGAGATAGTAATGGAAAGGTAGGGTGAACAGTGTAATTTGAAGTTGTTGTTTTTTTTTTCTGAAAGGGTGATTTAAAAAGGTATCTCTGAAAAGATGAGAGCTTAATGAAGTGATAGATATACTAATAAAATAGAACATTCTAGGTAGAGATAACATTAGGAACCTTTCTTTTGTCTAGTGTTGTACCTTAGCATCCAGAAACTACATAGATGCTCAGAAAATCTGTATAGGCTGTATAAAATGACATTTTGTAAAGTTTTTAACAATGAACCAAAATCAGCTATAATTCAGTCACTTTGGGTTCACTCTGCTTTATCACTATCCATTTTTTTCATGTTGTTACTCTTATGATGTAAAAAAAGCATTTTTTAAATTACAGCTTTATAGTTATACATAGTAGCTGGGTTCATCCTGACAAACTCATAAGTGCATGGAGTTTGATTTCAGTTCATGATCCCCCCTTATCCATCCCCCTTTTTCCTTCCCATCCTTTCTCCCTTCTCCCATATTCCTTCCTCTACTCTACTAGACTTCCTTTCACTTGTCTATTTATTTATCTTTGATTGGTTTTACCTATGTATAAAGGTGAAGTTCCCTATAGTACATTTATATATGCACTTAACATGATTTTTTTAAGAATTCATTCTGCATCACCTTCCTTTACCCACCCCTTCACTCTTCCTCTCAGTCACCTACTACATTACTGGCCTTGCCTTTATCTTTATGTTATCCTATCCTTTCTTTTATATATAAGCATTTTTTTAACTTAATTATGATAGACCCTTGGCATCAAATATTTAACCCTTGTCACTTGCAAATGACTCAATGTAATAATTTTTGTTGGGATAATAATACCTCAAAGATGAAGAATAAAGAAAATAATGAAAAAAGTAACATGAATTTGAATCTGTCTTATATAAAGGATTTGTTATTCAGCAAGTATGGAAACCTAGCATCTTCATTTTAATGGCAATATTCTTTTTTTGGAATGGAAATTTTCTTGTAGAATGGGAAGATTCCTTATATGCATAAGTGATTCTCATGCATCTAGTTAATACTCAACTGCTATTATCTCTAACGATTGCATAAAATTCTGTGGAGCACATATAAGGTTACTATGTCTTATTTTGCATCGTTTCCATTTTGTAGTATAATAATGCTGAAATTAACCTTCCAGAGTTCATTTTCCTAATATTGAACTATTTTATTTCATAAAACCCAAACATGAAATTACTGGATCAAAACATGTTTTATTTATTTGTTTTTCTAAATTTTGATACACAATTTTTTACTTTTTAATTTTGATATAAACTGTTTTCCTGAAGATTTTTTTCTTACCAGTATATACTGCTACCAACCTATATGCATGTACCAGTTTTTCCATTCATTATTCAATATTTCTTAAAAGCTTCAATAATTTAGGGATTGGAAACATACATCAATATTGCCTTAATTTTCTTGTCTTATAATAAAGGATATTTCCTACTTCTGTTGTTGGTATTTTTTTTTTTTTTTTTTTTTTTTTTTGCTCTTAAAAGTTTGTGTCGGAGCCTGTAGCTTTCTTACCAATTGATTTTTTTTTTTTTTTTTGGTCAGGGAGAAAAAACTTTTATTTTTCATTATTAAAACTGAAAAGATCATTGTCCTATAAAGACTTCTATATTTTAAGCTTCATATTGTCATTAGCTATGGATATTTTTCTTAGTCTCTATTTTCTTTTTAAGTTTACTAGAAGAACAAACAATAGGGACCTTGAAATTCATCAGTTATTCTTTAAAGAAAGGAGGAAACTGAAATCCATAGAGGACAAGCTGACTTTTTTGACTGCTGCTTTATCAGTGGACTGGCTTGATTATCATTCTGAATATTAGGAATTTGCTGAGATTGGAGGTTTTGAGTATTTTTGCGGAAATAGGAGAGAAAACGAGTGAAATGTTAATTTTAGGCACATTACTGACAGCATTATATAGGATAGACAATAAAAAAAAGAGGCTTGAACAAGAAAGATCAATAAAAAAAGTATTTTAACTATTATCAGAGATAAAGAAACTTGTTTTTTTTAATTATGGAAAGCTGGGTGCAGTGGTGCACATTTGTAATCCTAGCTGCTAAGGAAACTGATGCAAGTTCCAGGCAAACCTGGGCAACTTAGTAAGAGCCTGTCTCAAAATTAAAGGAAAAGAAAAAAGACTAGGGATATGATAGCGTACTTGTCTAGCATGTACAAGGCTCTGGTTTCCATCCCCAATATCACCAAAGAACAAAAAGAAAAGAAAATGGTGGGAATATATTCATATCACATGTGAATCATGGGGCACCAAAGAGCTAGGAAAAGTAAGGAGAAGGTAGAACTCAAGAAGAATTGTTAATTGATTCATTTTTAGGTTTATCTAAGCAAATCATGAATATGATGGTCATTTGGGCATAAAATTTAACTTTGGGTGCATTTTAAGCTATTAACAAGCTTAGTTTTCCTTGTCTGTAAAAGTCATTGCCGTTTATTAAAATAACAGTTACTTTTATTCATATTGTATATATAAAACCACATCTTTTTTCTGTTGCTAAGATGAATTTTTTTAAAGATAATTTTCATTTATCTGTGTCTTTCAATTTTAGGAATTCCATCCTCAGATTCTAGGAATGCAAATCTCTATTTTTTGGATGTTGTGCAACAGGCCAATACTATTTTCCATCTTTTTGACAAGCAGTTTAATGATCACCTTATGCCACTAATAAGGTAAGTTACGTTGTCATATTTTTATTGGTATTTCAAAGGATATTTAGAATAGTTTTATTAAATTTTAAAAACAATACATGTTCATGAAAGCATCAAATAGGATGGAGGTGTGAAATGAAAAGATCTTTTCCTTCTTCCTTGCATTCTTGTTTTCTCTTTCTACTGTGCTATTATATTTTGTTGCATTTGAAAAGACTTAATCTGTCCTAAATCTAAAATTGAAATCTGATGTTAAAGAGGCCCTACAGCTTAATGCAACTCAGCATATTTACTCCTTCCAAGGGTCTAATAGACACAATCCACCTGTAGCTGCTTGTTATATAAAGATGTACAAAAAAATTTATGAGATTAATAGGACAAATTTCGATGAGACACTAATATCTGGTTTATATCTTCAAATCAATTTTATGAACTTTTAAAGAATATGAGAAATAAGAAATATGTATTATGTGAATATGTTTTACCGATTTTATGTAGTACCATTATTGACAAGAGAAACTATTCTTATAAAAGAAAAATTTTAGATATGTTGTTATAAACATTGATATACCAAGACTGCCTCAGAAACAATCTCAAGAGTGAAGTCATTTGTGATCCATGAATCATACTTTGAAGGGAATTTGCTTTTTAAAGAGCTGTTGCCACATAGCAAAAAACTCACATGGTGTTTGGGTTGCTTATTCTTTAATATTTCAGGTGTTTTTAATATTTTGGCAGCATTCAGAAGGCAAATATAATTGTCAGGGCTTTTTATTATTGTTGCTTATTTTACTTTAGGGACACTAAATACAACTGGTTTGGCTGTTTCTCTCCAAATTGTTGTTAATGATTTACTATATTCTTAAGAGTCTAGTGATACCTTATGAATTTTCTGAGTGTTTTACCAACTATTTACTTATAAATTAAACCATATAGTTCCAAAATTAATCATGTTTGTATTCTTAAGGGCTGTTTCCTCAGAGATGAGAATAGCAAATTTAACTCTTCTTCCTTTCCTTTTAATGGATAATTGTTTTCTTGTGTGACTACTGTAATAAACTGGGCATATGAATGTAAATAATTATTTTATACTTCTTGGATTTATGATCATGTCTGTTGGTATCGTATACATATGAATATGAAAAACTTAGAAATTAGGCTATTAATGCATTTTTTTCCTCCTTTAAATCTACAATAGCTCTTCTCCTAAGTTATCTGAATGCCTTCAGAAGAAAAAAGAAATAATTGAGCAAATGGAGATGAAATTGGATACTGGCATTGATAGGCAAGTTGCTGTTTTTCTTTGGAATTTTAAAAAATTATATAAATATTATAGCAGCAAAAAAAATTTTTAGAGAAACTTATTTTAATTCCACCATCTTGCTGTAACGTTTGATGTTATTTTTGTGAACGACTTTTAACCTTATTAGAATGTTAATTGAACTCCCAAGTTATTTTATTTCTGAAAGTAAGTATATTTAGCTATACTTTTAAACTAGATTCCTTTAAAAACATTTTTTGTAAGCACCCCATCTCCACTCTAGATACTCACAAACTACAAAATCCATTAAAAATGGTGTGTAATATATAGTATTATATTTATTTAGAACTTCCAGGCTTATGTATGAAATCTTTTAAATAAATACAGTAATTTTCTAAAAGTACTTCTAATATTTGTTAAAGATAATTACCTGCTCATAGTACAGAGTCCAAGGGGTCTGTCTGGGTTTTTTTCTTTTCAATTCCCTATATTTTTTATTGGTACATTAGTCTATCTGTTTTGGGGATGATGATGTTCATATATTTATTGATGATGATAGTATCTACCGATTATCAAGCATTTGCTATATGCCAAGCACAATATAAGGGCCTTTACCTATATTATTTCATGTATTAGGTAGGAACTACTATTTCCATTTTACAGATGAGGAAATGGAGACTTTAATAAATTTGCTCAAAACCACAGATAATGATGGTAGAGCTGGAACTCTTTAAAACCCATGGTACTAAGATTTGGGTATAGATTTGTATTTCTGTAATTCTACTTTCTCTTGTTCAATAAAGCATATTTGAATGTAGATTTTTAATAGCCTTATTTAAAAGATAACTGAGAATCTAACTTATGCAAATATCAAACATTTTTACTTTATGAGTAATAAGAAATTCCTTGCAACTCACCTTGCAATTCACTTGCAATTGACCTTCACACTAAGACTGAGAACTATTGACTATATGGTATGTGATAATAAAGGGGAAGAAAAAATAGAATAAAAAGTTGGAAAAAGAAAGGGTGTTATAAAATCATTCAGAGTAGTTTACTGAGGAATAGGTTTAAAAGAATCTTGAAAATTTGTCTTACTGTTTTTCCCAGTTTTACTGAAGTTTAATTGACAGATAAAATTTGTTTACATGTAAAGTGTATAATAATTTTGGACATATTTGCACTTTGTAAAATGATTACCACAGGGGTTGGGGTTGTGGCTTAGTTATAGAGCTGAGGCACTGGATTCAATCCTCGGCACCACATAAAATAAAGGTATTGTGTCCACTACAACTAAAAAAAACATTTTTTAAAAAAATGATTACCACAAGAAAGCTAGTTAAACATTTCCATCAGTACATGGTTACCATTTTTTTCTTGTGATGAAAAGGCATATGATCTACTCTTTCAGCAAAGTATGAAAATAGTATTATTATAGTCACCATATTGTACTTTAGATCTCCAGAACGTATTAATTCTGCCCAACTGAAACTTTGTACCCTGACTCCTTATTTCCTCTACCACTCTCTCCCTCACAATTCTTGGCATCCACCATTCTATTCTGTACTTCTATGGGTTTGATTTTTTTTTTAAATTCCACATATGAGATCATGTAGTATTTGTCATTCTGTATTTGACTTATTTTATTTAGTTTAATGTCCTCCAGGTTCATCCATGTTGTCACAAATGGCAGGATTTCTTTATTTTTTATGGCTCATTAGTACTCTGTGTATAAGTATACACATTTTCTTTGTTCATTCATTTTTCACTGGAAATTTAGGTTGTTTCCATATTTTACCTATTGGGAATAATGCTACAGTTAACCTGGGAGAGCACATATGTCTTCAAGATATTGATTTCATTTCTGTTGAATATATACCCAGTAGTGAGTTTGCTGGATAATAAAGTAGTTCTACTTTTAATTTTTTGAGGAATTGCCATACTATTTTTCCATGATGGCTGTATCAGTTTACATTCCCACTTTAGCATGCAGAAGTTTCATTTTCTCCACATCCTAGCCAACACTTAGCATCTCTTGTCTAAGCCATCCTGGCATGTATAAAGTGATATTGTGTTTTTTATTTTCATTTTTCTGATGACTAGTAATGTTGAGGCATTTCATATATCTCTTGGCCATTTGTATGTCTTCTTTTGAAAAATATTTATTCAGGTCCTTTGCCCTTTTAAAATTTGTGTTATTTGATTTTTTTCTCCTATTGAGTTGTTTAAATTCTTTATATATTCTGGATACCTTTACGAGATATATGTCTTTGAATATATTTTCCCCTATCTGTAGGTTGTGTCTTCACTATGTTAGTTATTTTCTTTGCTAAAAAGAAGCTCTTTAGTTTGATGCACTCTTACTTATATATTTTTGCTTTATTGTCTGGCCTATCAAAAAACCATTGCTAGAACCAATGTTGAGGAGTTTTTGCCTATGTTTTCTTCTGGTAGTTTTACATCTTAAGGTCTTATGTTAAAGTCTCCATTTTGAATTGATTTTGTGTGTATGGGAAGATAAAGTTCCAGTTTTATTCTTCTGTATGTGGACAACCAGTTTTTACAGCACCATAAAACAAAGAGGCTGTTCTTTCCCTGTTGTACATCTTTGGCACCCTTATCTCAAAGATGAGTTGAATTCAGGAAGTGTGATGTCTCTAGTTTTCTTGTTCTTGCTCAAGATGGCTTTGGCTATTCAGGATTTTTGTGATTCCATATGAATTTTTGAGTTGTTTTTTTTTTTCTAATTCTGAAAAGTGTCACTGGAATTTTGATAGGAAATATGTTGAACCTATATATCAGTTTGGACAGTATAGACATTTTAATGATATTAATTCTTATAAGCCATGAACATGAGATGTGTTTTCATTTATTTATCTATTTTTTCTTTCAGGAAAGTTTTATAGTTTTTATAGTACAAGTCTTACTTCTGTACTTAACTTAATTCCTGAGTATTTTATTCTTTTTAATACTATTATAAATGGGATTTTCCTTTTTGGATAATTCATCAATAGTGTATAGAAACACAACTGATTTTTGTATATTGACTTTGCATCTTGTAACTTTACTGAATTCAGGTTCTGGCAGTTTTTTGATGGAGTCTTTAGGGTTTTCTGTATATAATAACATGTCACTGAAGAGGCAATTTCTCTTCTCCCTTTCCAGTTTAGGTGTCTTTTATTTCTTTTTCTAGCCTAAATTGCTTAGGCTAGGACTTCCACTACTACAGTGAGTAGAAATGGTAAAAGTGGATATCCTTGTCTTTTTTTCTGACCTCAGGGGAAAAGCTAGATTTTCACCGTTAACAATTATATTGTCTATGGGTTCATCATAAATGTCTTATATTATGTTGAGGTATATTCATTCTATACTTAAGTTTGTTAAGAATTTTTGTCATGAAATGATGTTGAATTTTGCCAACTGCTTTTTGTATCTCTTCAAATTATCATAATGTCTACCCTTCATTCTGTTTATTTGGTATATCATAGCTATTGATTTGCTTATATTGACTCATTCTTGCATCCCAGGGATAAATCCTGCTTGATCATGGTGTATGATTCTTTCAGCATGGTGTATGATTCTTTCAGTGTGCTTTTGAATTCAGTTTGCTAGGCTTTTTTTTTTTTTAAGCAAAGTTCATCAGGGATATTGGCCTGTAATTTTCCTCTAGTGTCTTTGTCTAGCTTCAGTATCAGAGTTTGCTGGCCTTGTAAAATGAGCTTGGAAGTGTTTACTGCTCCCATTTTTTTTTTTGGAAGAGTTTGAGAAGGATTGGTGTTAATTCTTTAAACGGTTGGTAACATTCACCAGTGAAGCCATCTGGTCATGGGCTTATCTTTGTTGAGAGGTCTTTGACTGCCAGTTTAATCTCCTTTTTCATTACTGTCTGTTCAGATTTTCTAATTTCTTCATCATTTGTTTTTAGTAGGTTACATGTTTCTACGAATTTACCTATTTCTTTAATTTGTTAGTATATAATAATCTTTTGTTTCTAGTCAAGATCACAGCAGATTATACATAAATAGAACTTCATTCACTATCATTATAATATGTATACATATATATTATAGATGTTACAAACATTACTTTTGACAAGTATGTATTTTCCTAACCTAAACCATTTACATTAATTTGTTTCTGCTTGCTTTGCCTCAGAATACCTAAAAAAAAAAATCACTTTTGGAAAGTGGGGAGGTTAGATATATGTTAAGTTTTCAAAAGTGTATGAAATATATATTTCCTGTCTTATCAATACATGAAATATTCTCTTTTTGTCTTTCCATATAAGTCATAATCTTGGTGTTTTTATTACTTAATACATTAAAGGCATAGTGGTCTGTGAAGGTCTCTCAAGTGTGACCCTAAATATAGGCTCAGCGTTCCCTTGAATTCCTAATGATAATTTTAAAGCAGTATCTATCCATTAGGCCTAAATGAACATCTCTTGCCTTTGAAGCTCATATCTTTCCTTTCTTGTTGCTTCATTTTCAGTCTTTTATTTCAATGCTGTACATTTACTGAGAATTTGGGGCATCTGTCTCATAATTTTTCTTTTTACTTTAAATCAGGTTCTTTTTTTGTCTCTGTGTGTAAACCATTCATCTTATCAATCATCTCCACTTAAACATCTACTCATATGCCTCACTGGATTGTTATCATTGGTAATAAAAACCTTAAACCCAAATGCCCTACTCTACAACCTACTTCTTCTTTTTTTTTAATACCAACTTCAAACCTCCAATTTTACCAACATCTTAATTCTCCTCATGCCTGTTTTCTAACCTCAGCAGGACCTCTGTCCTTTAATCTTTTCATTTTGGGTCATTCTGTTATCCTTTTCCTAACTTTACTTCATTCATTATTGTGCCCAAATCATATGGTCCATCTCTTAAATTACTGCCTTATATTTACTCTAAATCTACTTCCTTCAACCATGACTGTCTCACAGACCCTAAATTCTGGATCATTCTGGTCTCTTTTATTCCTATAATTGGATGGCTATTTGCTGTTGGAGAATATCACATAATTAATACATCACTAGTACTGTTAGAAATTCATGCCCTCGTTTCTTAGTTGGACCTTTAGTAGAATTTCTTCATCTTCCTGATTATCCCTAGATTATGAGACTCATGTTCTCCACTTGCTCTCCAAAACCTTGGTCATTCGTAAACTGATCTTTCCATTTTCTTAAACATTCTCTCTGTCTCATTTTGCCTTTGAAGATGTCTAGTAGTGAGGAAATAAGTCAGCGACAGATTTCTAAGGTCTTAAAGACTTCCTTAAATAAAGCATTGGGCAAGGAATTTTTTTCCCTGTTTGGGGCAGGGAGTCAGTAAAATAATGAGCTTTTTGATATCAAGACCTAGATTGATTTTTTTTTAAATCTAAACTTTACCAATTACAAAATAGTTTTATGGTGATATGAAAAAATTTAGTACAGATAACATAAATAAAAGTCAATATTGAATAAATTAAATGGATCAAAAATGTTGTGTTCTCAATTCTCTAGGACATTAAATTGTATGATTGGACAAATGAAGCATATCTTGGCTGCAGAACAAAAGAAAACAGATTTTAAACCAGAAGATGAAAACAATGTTTTGATACAGTATACTAATGTGAGTAGTAGAACTGTTCAATTTGTTAATAAAAAGTATCTGTTTTGTTAATTATTTAACATTTTTATCAGCGTGTCTTACTATGCCTTAAGTTTTTTTCTTTTATACTTAGAAATTAATGAAAAACAATGTGTATTTTCTCCTTAATTAAACTGATGCACATAAACTACATAATAAGTGTAGTAAAACTTTTACAGGCCTGTGTAAAAGTCTGTACGTATGTAAGAAAACAAGTGGAGAAGATTAAAAATTCCATGGATGGGAAAAATGTGGATACAGTTTTAATGGAACTTGGTGTACGTTTTCATCGACTTATTTATGAGCATCTTCAACAATATTCCTACAGTTGTATGGGTGGCATGTTAGCAATTTGTGATGTAGCTGAATATAGAAAGTGTGCCAAAGACTTCAAGGTATGTACACACAAATACCAAACTTGTAAATAAGGTTAGGAACATAAGTCAGGCCATTTAAATCTTATTGTAATGATTATTAAGAAATTTATAATGTTTGTTGAATTGTAATGAGATGAGAACCATCACTTTCTGCCTGAAAATAGTTCTAATCATATTTGCAATGTTAATATTTTGTGTGTGTGTTTTATTTTAGACAATGTCATATTTCAGTTGCATATTTCAAGTGGTCTTATTGACAGCCATGACTAATGCTGTGTCTGTTACATATCAAGAAAATAATATATATTATTTTCATGTATGTCTCTCTCAGATAATTTTTCCCTAAATTTTAAAAATTTAAATTATTTTTAAAAGTGCTATATTATTGATAACTAGTTGTAGTCTTTCAAATTACATAGTATGAGAAAACTGATATAAATCCTTTCACAAGTTTGTAGAGCTTTTGTAACTTCTGAAATATTTTAACTCTTTAGGAGGCTTAAAAAATCTAATATTTTGAACTTCCATAATCCTAAGTCCTGACAAAACTGTATATAAGAAGAATTTGCCAAACTCATTATAAAATGGGAAATTGTTTTGTCACTGTTATTTTTTTCCTTCTCTCAATTCAGATTCCAATGGTATTACATCTTTTTGATACTCTGCATGCACTTTGCAATCTTCTGGTAGTTGCCCCAGATAATTTAAAGCAAGTCTGCTCAGGAGAACAACTTGCTAATCTGGACAAGAACATACTTCACTCCTTCGTACAACTTCGTGCTGACTATAGATCTGCCCGCCTTGCTCGACACTTCAGCTGAGGTTGAATTCACAAACAAAGTGTGTTGTACTTCATCAGGCCTCGGTTGATAGAAAGCACAGGAGATTCCTTATGACACAGCCAACATTTTATGGAAAAAATGACTGGAAGAAAACAGCAGCCATACTGACCTTTGAAGTTTTATTTGAAATTTGGACACCCCTAGCTGTATTTTGCTTTTTTTTTTTTTTTTAAGTTGAATTTTAATTCCATTCTTTATTTTATAACTTTCAAATTCTGTAAAACTGTGTCACTGTTTTCATCCTAGAAAATGTTGGTGTCAGAAGGCAAACAAAATTTACCAGTGTTCCTGTTCGGGTTCTTTAACATATTCCATCTTGAAAATTTACCATCCCATTTTTCATTAAGAATGGGTGAAATACAACAAAACCACATTTATTTATTCACCAATTTTTATTGGCCTTTTCAGCACTGGCAATTGTTAACCAAATTATTTTAGGTTTTCCTAAAGAATCTTTTGCCTTTTTTGAAAGTTTAACAATTAAGCATAATTTCTGTAGTTGGTTGATTGGAGTGTTTTCTAAGATACAGCATCAGTACTATTCCAAGAAAAATGTTATAAACTAAACTAAAATGATGAAATGTTTTACGTAGACCTAGTGAATCAGAATACATCTGTTTTCTGGGTAAAAGTAAAGTTTACTATTTCTTATTTGGTAAATAAATCTTAAGCCAATTCTAGCAAGAAATTAATAAAACTACCTTATTTTATATTTCACTTAAGGTTGAAGACCTTAACTAAAGGACCATATTTATTCATTATTTTAATATTATAATGGAAGTAAAAAAAGTAAGATGTAGTGAAAATGGTGCATATGAGAAATATTGACAATGTTTAGCAAACACTGCAATCCTTTAAGATTTCTCTCTAATGCTAAACTTGAATAAGATGGGATAAACGTGCAAGTAGTCTACTTTAAGAGGAATTGGGAGTTGATAGATAACATTATATACTGTAAGTCTGGAGACAAGCTTTACAAATACTGTTTACTTTTCAGGTCTCTAGGTTTTTTCATTGTCCTTTTTCAAGGCATTTCTGAAGTTATTCCTACTTAGATATGATTACTCAAATTGGCTTAATATGGTGACATAATAAATCACTTACAAAATTTTAAAGATCAAGCATAAATTTAGACCATTACTTTTAAGCCTTAAAACTTGCTCAGTGAGAATGCATTCTAATTATATGTAGTGTTTCAGCTTCCATTCTGTTGTTTATAGTCTTCTAGAAACCATATAAATTTTCAATTCGTTCTTAACATTTTTTTTTCTTTCATATAGGCTTTTTGGCCTAATTTTGAAAAACTGCTTTTCTTCTAAGAACCTAATTTTGAATGATCAACTTTACCAAACCTCCCAGGCCCAGAGCTAACTACTATTTAAGTTACTATTGACTGAATTTTCTTCATTTTCTGTTTAGCCCAGTGTTATCAAGGTAAGCAAGGAAAATGCAGTATGCCAACTTTCATTAAAGCATTTTAGGACATTGTGGTAACTTTAAAAGGCTTTCCAGATTTCTATTCCTTAGCCAAGGGAGAGCCAAAAGAGGTTTTGGATACCAGAAAAAGTCATATGCTTGTACTATTGCCATTTTAGAAAGCTCTGATGTGAATTCAAATTATACCTCTGTTACTTAAAGCCAACTTTTAAGGCAGTAGTTTTACTGGCCATTTGAACTCTTTGTACAGTGTCAATTTGTAAAAAAAGAAAAAAGAAAAGAAAAAAAATCTCAAATAAAACACGAGATAACACTTTAAGACTTCCGAGTCAGAAGCACTTCAGATTATTTTGTTTGAATTAATTTTTAAAATGTAAAGCATATACTTGTTGCTTAGATATTTTGTTAATTATCATTTCCTTGCTTGAGTTCTGTGCAATATTTTCCATTATGTCCATTGAGAGGACAGTGACAAAACTCATGAGTGAATACTTAATTTAGAAGTGTTAACATTAATGCTCAATAAACAAATTCCCTGTGATTGTTTACTTCATTTCACTATATATTTTAAGGACATCCATACTGAATTTGATAAATTATTTTTTAATTTAAAATTTTAAGGTATACCTTATTTTTCATAGCTTAGGTCTTCTCATCCCCCCCCCTCTTTTTTTTTTCTTAAAGCAGAAAAGTACTTGACTGTATAACCAAGATTAGAAATTTAGCCTAAACATAAGGTCTTTCTCTAAGAAGAAGAAGAAAAAAAAAAAAAAAAGATTTTGTGTGAAGCAATGTGTGTTCCTTGTGTTCTGATCTTTAAAGTATGTTCATGTATAATGATCACCAAAATAATCATAATCCAAAATTTATGACTTAGAAGAAATGATTAATAAATAAAATGTTTTTATATACACACAGTAAAATTTTAGTTAGAGATAATTAAACTTAATAACTTTTACCAACACTTAAATGAGGGGAATCCTGCAGTATTCCAGTTTCACATGAGCTGTATGTGTTATCTAGGTAAAGTGTCAAAGTTGAAAATATACTCTAAAACACAGCAAATTGTTTTTTTTAAACATGTTTTATAAAGTACAGTACACAAATTTAAGGAAGAAGTAGGAAGTCTAGCCTCTGTAAAATTATGATACTGCAAATGACAGTCAACTAGAGTGGCTAAAGAGTCCTTATGAAGAATTACAACAGCTAGATGAATTTTTTTTTCTATTTTTTTTTGTGGGAGGAGGGTACTGGAGATTGAACTCAGGGGCACTCAACCACTGAGCCACATCCCCAGCCCTTTTTTGTATTTTATTTAGAGACAGAGTTTCACCGAGTTGCTTAGTGCCTCACTATTGATGAGGCTGCTTTGAACTCTTGGTCCTCCTGCTTCAGCCTTCCAAGCTGGCAACTAGATGGATCTTTAGACAGGTGACCGTTTGACCATTCCAAGACAATTATTGGTCTCATTTTGAGAATCATCATGATTGCAAGTCCTTATGATCTTCTTTGTTATAAAAAAAAAAAAAAAAAAAGCTGCTAAAATAGGTTAATTTAAAGATTAAGTAAAATTTTTATTTAAAGCAGATTAATTTATTTTTTGAATCATTTTTCTTCTTTCACTTCTAAATATTTTACTTTTTGATTACTAGCCTTTTGGCTCACAGTGAAACAATTAACAATCAGTAGATTGATTCCAATTGGTGAATTTACTGATTCCTTGTGATGCATTTCTCTCACCTATGAGAGTGAATATTTTTATCCAGATAAAGTGACATTGCTTCCTGTAATGTCACAAAATCCTTAAAACAAATAAGGCATGCCTAGTGGAACTGTATGTTGGAGACAGCAAGGTTCACTCAGGGCATATTTTTTTGGTGACTATATAGAAGCTCACATCTGGAGATTAACATGTTTTTAAGGCAAAAGTATTCTGTCATTGCCCACAGTATATTTATTTTCCAGAAGCATACTGAATTCTTATTTCTAATGGAGAATTTGACATACACAAAGAAAGCAGTTGATGCTTTCATCCAATTAGATTAACTATTTTCAGTTCCTGTACTATTTCTCTCTCTTTGAGAAGGCTTATCTGTGATACATTGTCTATTTTGGAAGAAAAGACCAGTCCATATTGTTAGACTAAATAATTCTACATGAAGTGAATGTAGCAATTTAAAAATTTTTAATGCATAATGAAGATAATTATTGCTACATTTATTGGACTTAAGTCCTATGCACAATGCTATATCTTTTGTATATATTTGATTCCAAAATAACCCTAGGATTTGGGTACTGTTTCCATTTGGTAGGTGAAAAACTTGAGGCATAAAAACTATCAAGGTCTAAGACTGTTAAAAGGCTCAGATTTAAATCTTAAAGTCTTTTTTACTGTTAGGTTCTATGTATTATTTTTCTTATGGAATATTAAGTAAGTACTTTAATATGGTGATTTATTAATGATGATTTTTGCTTAATCTAATTTTCTCTTCATCCAGTATTTGACTCTCATTCTGAAGTATAGATTATGAAATTGAATCCAAGATCAGTATCTAAATTACTACTGAGTTTTGTTTTTTAAAGAATTTAACATTTATTTTATTTATTTGTATGTGGTGTTGAGGTTCAAACTCAGTGCCTCAGACTTGCTAGGCAAGTGCTCTACCACTGAGCACTACTGGTTTTTTTTATATGTTCAGCGTGTGGTCATACTTTTTCTATTGAGTTTTTTAAAGTAGTCATGAAATTTTAATATAATCTTAAGTTTTTACCTAACAGAAATCTGTCTATCCCAATGTTTTCCTTAGTATTATTTTTTATAACCATGACAGTGTTTTTGCTTAGTAATTTCTGTAATATATAGAGTCCAAGTATTTTGTACCATTTTTTGAAACATGAGAGAAAATAACAGCTTTTCTTGAAAGATAAGAGGAAGTCAGTATTTTATGTTTAAAAGCAGACTACTTTTAATGTCATAAGCTTGCTGTTTCTCTTAGCTGTTTAGTGCACTGGTAGTTTTTTAATGGTTAATGTAGGGCAAAAAATATTTAGTGTTTTAGCAATCAGAAGTCATTTTTAGGTAATCAAAATTATTATATGTTAAGTTTTTTAAAAATTGCTTTAACTCTACCCTTTGTTGCTACTATAATTTCTCTTTCTAAATTTAGAAAGGAAATAACTTTTCAAGTATGTATAGGACAGAAACTTGACACATTAGAGGTTAAGAATTTTAATTGGTGAATTGGAGTAGTTAGGCTGATAACCCTGGGCTTAACAAAACTAATTTTTAAACTAGGCTCTGTATATTTTATCATTATTATTTGGTGGGTACCAGGAAACTTAAGTTCTTATGATTAGATATCTGTTGAGGGGGTGGGAAGGAGACAAGTAATTAAATACCACCTTATTTTTTTTCTAAGTGGTTTTAGAGGGTTGCAGTATGCATCACCATTCAAAGCCAATTTAAATAGGAATATATCACATCATACTCCAAATAGCAAACAACCTCAGGAAAGTCATTTATTCAGACGGCATAGATTTGCGCTAGACAGCAGTGATGCATTACAAATATATAATTATTTGCACTAATATTTGAGCAGGTGGAATGGATTAGAACATGGTCAACATTATGCTGCTGATAACATGTATTTTTCTATATTAATATGTACTGTGCAACATGTATTAAAATTGTCAATAATTCATTTTAGCCAAGATACTAATATTTATATTACTGTGTTTAAGAGACAGTATCCAACTGAGCCACTTTTAATTTAAAAGTCTGAAAATGGAATTAAGTTTACTTTCAAAAACCACTTACATTATTTTATAATCACTGAAAGGTCAGTGAAACATGGAATTATCATTGCCTGGTGACTTAATAGGAAGAAATATGGAAGGTTAAGAATGGGAATAGGAACCTGGAATGAGGAAGCTACGTTGAATTCATAACTCAGATGAGTGACTTCCTTTGTTTTCACCACTGGAAATCTCAAATGAAGAAAATGTTCTTCCCAGTATATCTTTATATTAATAAGCTAAGTGAAAATGGGATAGAACCAGTTCAAAGAAATTAATTTCTGAAGGTGGACTTTCAAATTTTTAAAATTAAACTTTAAGAGGTAAGAAACCTTAATTATGTCCCTATAATCTCATATAGGTAGATGTCTTTGAATGAGGACATCTCTTCTTGTCTACCTGTCATGTTAATCTTTATTATACTGTGGGTTACATTGATTCCTTTGAACTTTTGTTGTGACAGTTCTATCAGAGCTTTTTGCTGTAGAGGATATTATCCAAATTGAATCTGGACAATGCTGACCTAAACTACCTCCTAGTATATTGTTTGCAAATATAGTATATTATTTAGAGGGTAGCATAAGAGATTCACATGAAATAATGTGAAAATAATTTATAAGAAAAAATACAAAGTGCCTATTAGTGTTTTCCAGTAGAATGTATTTTCAATTTTTACCACAAGGGGGAGACATTATTTTTATAGTAATATATAAATTTTGTTTAATTTTAAAAATAGAATTCATATAACTATTCTCTATTGAACAGCACTCTGTGAACTTGTGTCTCATAATTGTAGGGATGTGTGTGAATTTAAATAAGATTATGAAAGTCATAAATGAGAATTCTGGGAGAATTAAAGACACAAAACTAAAACATGGAATCAAAGTTCATAATTAAAATTGTGTTTTTTATAGTTGCATGTCACATTGAATTACTTTATCAACTCTTTAAGAATAATAAGAATCTATTGATTAGTTTTCTGCATTTTACTTATTAAAGAAAAGCTTTTGAAACAACCTACAGAAGGATTGTCAATACTACACATACAAAAAAAATTTCCCTTTGAGAGTAAGTTGCTGCTGTGATGTGCATCACCCAGCAATACTTTTATATTTACAAAAAGAAGTAGTTTTCCTCTGTAACCAAAATACAACCATCAAATTAGGAAGTTAATGTTGACATATTACTACTGTCTAATCCTCAGACTTTACTCAAGTTTTACAAGTTATTCCAATAATATATTATTAGAATCCAGCTGAGAAGTCATATTGCTTTAGGTTGTAGTGTCTTTATTCTCTTTTACTCCAGAACAGTTCCTCAGTCTTTCCTAGAATTCTGTAACCCTTGGCACTCCTGTTGATTTTAGGCAAGTTATTTTGTCCCCACATTTGGGTTTCTATTTGACCATGATTAGAATCCACTAGTGCTTTGGCAGGAGTATTGCAGATGCTAGTCTGTGTTCTCATTGCATCCTATCAGGTAGTGCATGATTTCAGTTTGCCCCATTTCTGATGGTATTCATTTTGATAACTTGTTTAAGTTATCACTTGTTTACAGCCTTCTCCACTGTAAAACTGCTATTTTTTTCCCTTTGTAAATTTTTTGTGGGGAGGTACTTTGAAGCTATTGTATATATCCTCCTAATTGAAATTTCAATTTATTGATACCAGTATGGATTCATGGTTTTCTATTCAGTGGTTTATAATTTATTTTTCTGGATATCATGTTGTCCCAACTTCGGTCAGTGGGAGCCTCTTT